TTTCAGTGGCCAGTGGAATGGAGTTTGGATAGGGCCACTTGTGTTATAGTACTGATGATGATCTAAGTACTATACAATGATGCTCAAGCCCTGGCCTGTGGGCCAGTCTAGCCTGTGGGGCTCCCCACAAGTCAGGAAATCTGGCAGTGGGGGAGCAGCAGCAATTAATACTTCCTCTCCTCCCCACACTGTCAAATTTTTAAGGTTCCTCCCACCCCAAACACACAAAGCCCACTTGGGGCCTGACCACATCCCCTTCTCTGCTCCCACCCCCCTGCAGCTGGGTTTGGACTGAGCCCCACTCCCTCCCCCTGTGTGGCTAGATCAGGTTTGTGCTGCCCACTGCCCTCTATGCAGCTGGCTTGGCCCCAACATACCTTGCCCCATCCTGCACACCAGAGCTAGTCCGCTAGCTGGATTTGACTTGCAGACAGACTGAGCACTGGCCCTCAGGGCCAAAATGTTGGCGTCACTGATCTAAGCCCTTTGGGGTTGGAGTTTGGATAACTACTGCAAGGGAATGGGAAAAGGGATGAATATGAAGCATGTCAGGGCCATTGATAACAGTGTAATAAAGGCTGACAAGGCAAAACTTGATGGTCCTCTTTCTACATTTGTGCGCACATGCAGCACAAAAGTTCATTTTCTAATTAGCGTTATTTATATAGCAAAAGTTTATAGTGATGGGGAATGTGAGTCACAGAAATGGGAGTGATTTAGGAAGAAAATGGGGTTAGCTCAAAAATGACAAAAATGCTTTTATTATGTAGGTCATATTATGGGAACATAAACTTTTTTGGAGGGCCTTGCTCGACTTCAGTAAAAGCATCTGCAAAACTGAAACAACTAGAAGATGAAAATGTAGATGCTATGTTTGTCTTTGTTTCTGATGTTTGGCTGGACCAAGCAGAAGTGTTAGAAAAGCTTCACACTATGTTTTCAGGTAGGTGCAATATTCTGTCTTTTTATGTGGTTCTTAATTTTAAGGAGGTTTAACCCAATTGGCTTGATATAGCTTGGTGCCCGAGCAGTTTAAACATGCTCTTTTGCCAAGAAGTGCTAGTATTTTTATTTAAAGGTGTATTACTAAAACCAATCTGGTATTTTTAAACAGATTCTAAGAAAAGCAATCAGGACTTGTGGCAGAGGTGATATCTTTTATTAGACCAGCTTGATTTTTGCAGAAAAAAGTATTTAATTGCAAGCTTTCAGGTGCAAACAAAGCAATGACAGTCCTGTGGCCACGTAGTTACTGACTGTCTGCTTTTAGAGGTCTCGCTGTCATCATCATGAACGTGTGACTGAACAGTCTGGGAACCACTGCTCTAAGAGGCTGCTACTGCATTTCACAGCTGGTATTATCCTTCTTATTTGGATCACTCTCTAACAGGTTTGAAAATGTTGCATTTTTGCAAAAAGTTTTGAGTTCGCAAACCTCTCCATGTGTCACTTCATACCTGTATTGTTTTGAATTATATCCATTTTGCATAGTGTGGCAATAGTGTTATGTTAGCACACGACTGGCCATGGATATTTACAAATGGCTCCTGGTACAAAAAGGTTGAGAACCACTGAACTAGATGACTTCCTGAGATCTCTTCCAACCCTCGTTTTCTGATTCTATACTTTGTTAGAATCCAAAACTCCCTTCTGAACTTTGGCTGGTTTTACCTGTGTCAAGGCACTGTTTGTGCCTGCCAGTTCAAGGGCCTGAAGACAGCAGCTGGCAGGTGCCTGATGAGGGCAGCCATTTTAGATCCAGGGTTTCCCATATAAACAGGGCATTTTGCTGGTGGAAGGCCAGGTCACAACATTGCCTGGCTGCAGGTACCAACTGGAGGTAAGGGCAGGAGCTGTAGGGGTTGGTCAGGAGGCTCCTGGCCCTGGGCATGACCTCAAACTGCACCCTGCTGGTAGTGGGTGGCCTGGTGGGGCTCTTAGTGGCGCAGGAGCCCCCAGGAAATGCAAGGCCAGTTGTCACAGGCCAGCTGGGCACTGTGAGTGTATTAGTTTTATCACGGGCCAACTGGGCTGTTTGATTTAGTTTCAGATCGAGGAGGCAAAAGTTGGGAGTGGAATAAAGGCAAATTTATTATAGCTTACACACACACAACAGTTAACAGAAAGATAAATGCGATAAGCAGATAAGGCAGTATAAAAGAGCTAATAGTAAAATAATAATAACGGATAGATAGACAGATAGATAGATCAATCTGTCGCAGGCCAACTGGGCACTGCGAGGGTATTAGCCACACTGGGCTGTTCAAAACAACAGATAGACAGACATGGGTTGGCAATTTATCGATAGTCCCTCAATGCCAGGTGTGCGCCAAGTGATTCCAGCCAAGTCAGGCGTCCCTGACGATCGACGCTGTCAGAGGGCTTACCGGGGAAGGTCCCTTGCCCAGGTTCCGACCCTCACTCACACCGGGAGTCTGGGGTCCGGGCGTGGGACAGAAATGACCGTTCTGTTCCCTCCTTCCTGCTGGTTACCTGATGCATGTGTTTTTTATACCTAGTCTTATGTTAATCTGTTGGCCTCAGGGCCACTCACAGTATTGCCCTATAGCTGTTACCCTATGGGATTGAAAGGTGTTAAAATTATCATAAAAGGTTACTACCCAGACTCAGGTTTATCCGATAAGCAAATTATGATGCAGTACCTTTAGGTTTGAAACTGACATCGCTCCTCCTAAATCCCAACCCCTTTTAGGCTTCAGTTGAATATGCTTTCTTGGGATATGCTTTCCTGGAATGTGTTTGGGTGTGCCTAGCAGTTAGATCCAGTTTTTATCGCTAAGGCTGAACCCTGAGCAAAAAACCGTTAGGCCAGCTAATCTCACAGCGATAGCTTTGCCTCTGGGCCCCAGTCAGTTCCATGAACAGTTAATTTATCAGTTTGGTTAAACTTATGACAGACAAGTTACATTTGCAGTTTACAAACTTGCAAGCTTATATTAACTGATATTACCTATTTAGGCAAAATACCAAATGCCTCCAAGAAGCACATATTATTGCTTATTAATCCCTCTGGTTCTGGCTATCACACCAGTGACCACCCTGTTGAAAGGTGGATCGGGGCGCCTCAACCCCAGCTCCCACCTTTGGGTCAGGACATCGGAGGTAGAAGGGGGTCAGGCATGGCTATGGCCACCTGAGCCCACCTGAGGAGGGAAGCCCTGAGACCCTGAGTAGAGGGGGTGTTGTGTAAGATCTCAGGGTAGCACCATGACTTGCTGCTCTGGGGGGGCAGTGAGAGTCCCCTGTGAGACCCTGGAGCACCAGTCGTGGTGGGAGTCACCCCATCGCCCCACATCCAGGAAGGGGGTCCCAGAGAGAGTGTGGGGCTAGTGAGGTCGGAAGTAGAGTGTCCCCTCGACTGGTCAGTGCTGGGGCCAGGACCAAGAAGGTCAAAAGGGCCAGGTGCCCACCACGAGGGGCACCCAGAGTTGTGGGCCTGGGGCCCCGCCTGGTCTTGGAGGTGAGGCCAGGGCCTGGGTGGCCAAGGGTCCCGATGGGGGACCACACCCGAGAGGGGAGCCAGCTACAGGGAGCTCAGCAGCCTGAATGAAGGTGGCGTAGTCTGCCTGAGTGGAGGAATCAGAGGAGGTTCCTGCCAGGGGGATTCTGGAGCCTAGTGTGAGGCTGGTGTGACTAATAACATCTGGATGCCATCTGCGAGGCTTGGGCCATGGTGTAGGGGAGGTACGGAGCCACGGACAACTCCGAATATTGGGGTGCAGTAATGAGCAGCCTCTCCCACCTTATTTAACATATTATTATTGCAACAAGGTGTGGCGGGCGAGATAGGCCGGCAGCATGCCCAAAGGCAAGTGGGGGGGGGGCTAGCTGTGGCTAGTGGGGATACCCACATTGCCACATTACCCATAAAAATATGTTATGATTTTGTTCTCAAGACATCCACTGTCAATCAGCATCGTCACGTTAGTAATGTTTACAATGCTTGGATGGTAAATGCTTGAGAGATCTGTGAATTGCCTCGCTTCATTCCAAAAGTGTTTTGGAACAAGGTATACTTTCTGTATTGGATGGAATACAAGTAGTTGAAGGTATAAAAAAGGAGCCATCACTCAAAGGTGGAAAATAACTCTTCACTTATGGAAAATTGGAAACCAGTCACCAAACTCATCTGTCATCGGAAGTTGTGAAAACCAATTCATTCTTTTGACAAATATTGATAGCAACCTTGAAGTGAAGTGAATAAACTTCAGATTGCACGTGATAAAGGGACTCTAATCAGTGAAGTTGTTATATTGAGTCAATGGCATAACTAGGGTGGGGTGAACAGGGCAATGACTTTGGGGGGGGGGGGGGGGGGGAGGAGGCGATGAGA